AGTACCGTTATATGGGGAGTGGGCGGAGTTGCCACCCGATTTGAACTATTTTCACACCTTTGATAAAGGTGCTAAAAGCATTTGTTCCCAGTGCAAATTTGTTATTATAGCTTTAGCAGTTTAGGAGATATGCACATTAAACTTATTAGGGGGCGGGACCACGCCCACTTAAAAAAAATGTTAAGCTGTAGATGCCACTCATCAAATCAAATAACAAACTCGTGTCTTATTGTGGAGCACAGTTATGGAAATTTAGTTGTTTTTGATTAATGGCGCTTTGTGGGCGTGCCAGTGGTCTGATTACGCCCATCTGCAATACCAACCGTTTTACGGTATCAAAAATCATGTGTACCAATACCATCATAAAGATATCTAAATTTTTACTCAAGTTACAGGTTGCACAGACGGACGGACAGACGAACAGACAGTCACCCGGATTTCAACTCGTCTCTTCATCGTGATCATTTATATATAATATATATAACCCTATATTTAGTTTTAGGTGATACAAACAACCGTTAGGTGAACAAACTATTATACTCTATAGCAACAAGTTGCGAGAGAAAGTAGTACCAATTTATAGTTTCTTGTTTTTATATCAGACCATGCTAAGCGAATTAAGCTAACAAGATACTTTTGAGATAGCTTACTTATTGATCGACACATAGATTTAAAACTTGATATACGGGAGCTTTGAAAACTGACTAGTCTACCAGAAAATTTGTTAAGGATTAAATCAATTTTTGATATATTATAAAAAATATTTACCACACAAAGTTCAACTTTAAATTTGAGTTTTAAACGCTACTAACTGTACAAATGTTTTCTCTGCAATGGGAGAATTCCAAGTAGAAAATAATGAAGCCACAGCGGCCAACTAACCGACCTAGAGAGCAACAAAGCAAACAACAATACAAGGCAGCCAAGATCCGAACAAAAATCTAAAAATAAAACCATTGCTGATAATCTTGGTCATTAATGTTGATGCTGCTGTTGTACATAAAGGCATATGAACATATGTGTATGTTTGTACGAAGAATGTCAGAGTTGAGCAGATGACACTTTGACCCTCATTTTTGACAACAGTGTTGCCTTGACTGAACCGACGCTGTTCACTTGCTTTTGTTGTTATTATTGTTACTGTAAACGATATGATTATGTTATAGACAACACTTGCAATAACAGCAACAACAAAAGTGTTTGAAGTATATTGGCATAGGGAGGGCAGTAAAAATAACAAGCAGCTTTGAAAGCCCGGAAAATCAAAGCAAAACATACAATTATATATGTATATACAATATAAACAAACTGGAGTTAGGACATATATATTTATCAGTGAATGCGTATGTGTTTTCTGCAATATAATATTTACTTGAAATCAAAGTGCGGAGCACCGCAAAACTACTCGACCATCACCGCTTAACAACGAGCAATCCATTCAATGAACTGATATGGCAACCACAAATACAAAGTGTTTCAATTACAAGTAAGGAAAGACGAAGCTCGGATAGAATCTTTAATAAGGTATCTTAAAGAGCTTTAGGAATTTAAAGGGCATTACCTGAGTAAAATAATATTTTTTTATTGAAACACCGCTGAGAATTTTTACACCTTCCTGATTTCCTTTCTCTTAATGATATTTATAAGCATTCAGACTATTTGCTTACGGATATTGCTTACGAAGCCTTGAATAATCGTTATATTCATATTACGAAAGAGATGTATTTATGAAAGAATTTTTAGTTCTACTATAATCTCAATTTGACTTAATGACCGAGGAAAGTCAACATCCAACAATTTCTTCTGTACGAAAATGACCCCTTATGAAATTCGGAAGTGTCGACCTCGCCTTAAACAAAAGAAGTTTCGATCAGTTCTTCCGGTCGCGTCAGGTCGAGGGTTAATGTTCTGTATGTAAGGTCTGCCTTTGAAAGCTCCTATCCTCTGAAAACTCGGAAGGGAAAAGGGAAACCTCCTTGGTGGACACTGGAGTTATCGGAAGTCAGATCTTCAATCAGAATACTGTTCAATAAGTTGCCGCAGATACAGACTTAGCGTAGATTGGATATTGTATAAAGCGGGACTTGCTATATATGAGTTTGAAAGTGTAGAGGGCTGTCATGAATCACCTAGGTTTAGGCATATTCTCACAAAAAATCATACCCTCTTGGACTCTTAACTCTTTTAAGCCCTTTAAGTCTCCCGAACCCAACGGCACTATACCTCCAGTGCTTCAGCATGCGACAAAAGTAGCATTCAACTGGGTCGAATTCCAAGGAACGGGCTGGTAAGTGACTTTCAGTCGGGAGTCTCATGGCTGGAGGAGTTCTAATATATAAAGACTATGCTGTGTGTACTTTACCTAATATTGAGGTAGTCTTCAACAACGTACGGCCGGAGGCGGTTAGCTCGCATGGAAGCCAAATATTGAAGAGAGTGTAAGAAAAGCAACGGTCACCTTATACTGTTGTAGAAGAGCAATTTCATTCGATTGGAACGAGTCGGTTTTTTGATGTTCACTGGCGTTCTAGCGCTGGACCTATGGACCTCGATTTTTGTCGAAGCTGTATGGAGGAAGCCGAAATGGATGGGATATTAACCGCCTTAATTACCTTTGGGTGAGCTCAAAACGTTTCGGCGACTTAAAAGGTGATGCAGTTTAAGGAGTTTTTTGGGTAACAGAATGTTCGAATATCTGTCCAAGTGAGATCCATCGATTTTAAATCAACTCTACGGCCTAATCCTAACCTAACTAGCCCAAAGTAAATACAGTAACATTAAATGTCGATCGATGCCCAGAGTTAGCATATCAACTGTTACATACCACGTATGGACGAAAAGAGCAAGGACCATGATCTAATTCCATAAACGGAAGATCTTTCTAAGTAAGTATTTTCCAACTTAACATCGGCAATATAGAGTCGAGCACAAAAGGGTATCTTCTTTTAAAAAGCGCACTCACAAACATGCCGCTAGTGCCTTAGACTCGCTCATATGTATTATGATTTTAAATTTAATATTTTTGTACCGTTATGAAGCGACCGTTAGAATATATTACCTTTTGTAATGAATCAACAACTCATAAAATGCGGAAGTGGCTGCAAACATATAGAACAACAGACAATTCGATCTACTTCTATATATAGCAAAATATCAATCTAATTTAGATCAAGGAAAAGACAAAACTGAAGAGTCATCGCGTTATCTAAACTTTTATGAAGTTGAGGCGGACGAAAGTATGGATAGACAAAATATCAAAAAAATAGTTATTTTTCGTTTAGAATATTTTTAAATACATGAATACATAAATCTATATATAACACGATTCTTAAATTTTTTACAAACATCCAGTATGTGAACAAAGCCATAATACCATAAATACAAGTTACGCTTGGATAAAAAATATTGACCAAGAAAGTTACTATTTTGTTCGGGTTGTAATAGTAGAGGGCAACAAGAGACAAGGATTATGGCTATTTTTATGAACATTGAACTAATAACAGTAAGAGTTTCTCATTGGAAAAATAGCTTGTATACGAAATAAAAAAGTCAGCTGCAAGAAGTGGATCAAGAAAGAGAGGAAGAAGATTTAGTTAAATAATAGAAGATCAAAAGCAACAGATTTGCTACGCTTGAGGCTAAAAAGGTTAAAGAGCGAGTTATTGAGTAGCACCAGATAATAAGGGCTAAGACACTGTGAGAAGCGCTTGAAGGAGCATCTCTGCAATATAAAATGTTTGCATTGGCAAACTATGTGCGCACTAAGTAAGATGTTGTAAGTTGTAAATGCAAAAGCATATCTCCTCTAAGTTTAGGTTTCAATGTGTTAGCGCGCCATTTTTCCACATGGTTTATTGTGATTTATATATTTACATAAAGATACTTGAAGAAAACTATAAATTTGCCGTAAAGTGTGCGTGGGTGCAATAAAACGACTGAGAGATGACTGCGTTGAACTCGCCAAATGCATTGAACCTCAAGCGAATACAACTACGAACACACACACATATCATTATATACAAGTATGTACAAGCTTCAGTGACCGCACACAAACTATTCGAGTCATTCTTAGTGACTCCATCGTCACTTGTGTATGGCAATTCTTGAGGGTTAAATTTAATGAAGCGCGAATTATCGGTTCAATGAAATTCATGCGGCCACGAAATGGACCAAGAAAGTGCGCCAGTCTGCTTTGCTGTGTGCATGCATTGTTGCTGTTGTTGTGGCCTTTGCCAACGGTGACGGTACTTGGCTTGAGCTGTTGATAGCAACATATTAATACAAGCTTGTAACATGACTGGCTGACCAACCATTACTGTGTCTAAAAATGCTAGCGTATGAGTGCTGCACCTTGTTGAGTGTTGGTGAGTCTTGTCGCCTGGAGTCAGTGCAAATTGAATTTTTCATTTTGGCGAGACACTGGAAAAAGTCGACGTCTGCAAGTTACGACCGGCATTGTTCTGGTAATGTAGGAGAAGACTGGTAGCAGTTTAAAATCTAAATTTTTTTTATTATATAACCAATTAATCTGTAGGCTCCCCACATAGTCCAGTTGGCAACTTTTAAGACTTGCTAGTTACAGTGATTGCCATCCAAAATGAGAAATGGTACTCTGCAGTCATGATAAGCTGGTCTACGCAAATTTGATTTAATATATTCGAAGCGTTTATTAACATATATGACAAAAAAATTTATATAACAAAGGAGATACAAGGCTTCCTAAATGATCACTACCTCAAAATTTATTTTTAAGAAATATCTTACCATAGAAAGCATCACGCCAAACTATTCTATCGCTTAGGGCTAATGAGGAGTTTTCCCAATAAAATTCGTAAATTCGATCTTAAGAGTTTTGGCACCACTATCGTTGAGAGGCGAGTTTATCAAATTTGAAACCAATTATTATTTACTATAGATAAAATGCCTATATTGCCAATTAAATTTTTTTTTTTCTAAATTGACTATACAAAAATTAATAAATTAATAAAATGATGACTTACCACTTATCTACGCGTTGATCCGACAAGTAATCTGGTCACCTAAAAAAAGTATAAAAAAACATTTTAATTTCGAAAATTACTATATATGTTATATACATATATATGAATGTCTTATATATTTGCAATACTTTAGACAAAATATATAAATATTAATTAAGACGCTATTACATCATACTCAAATAATTTTAAAATTAAACAATTTATGAGAGATCACTGCTAATTGTTCTCAATTTGAAATTTGAAAAATTTGTTATATGCGAAGTTGGCGTAATTATCAACCGAATACGCCCATTTCCGTAGCGTTGCAATAGTAATAATAGCATAGCACACACCAAACTTAGTTGGCACAAAAATGGGCAGCGTCCTACGATTCCTACGAAGAGGCCGAAAATTGGGTGTCTGAATGGTTTGCTTCAAAAGACGAAATTGCCTGAAAGGTGGTAAAAATGTGTAAAAGGCAACGGTCAATACTTTATTTTACTTTCCCATACAAAATGAGTATTTAATTTTTTCAAAAAAAAAAACACTCATTTTATACAGGTATATATATAAAACTCCATATCTATTTCGATTAGTTTTACAAACAACCTTAAGCTATTATACGCTGAGCAACATGTTGCGAGAGCATAAGGTATTTAAAAAAGAGGTAATTTTCTGATGCAGTGATTCCGGCCTTTTCCGTGGATAAAACCCAAAACAATGTCACTCTACGGTCAATAAAATGTAAAAAATTTACAAAAGTGTGACGTTTAAAAAAGTTCTTAATTTTCGAAGTTCAACGACGTCTTGATGTCAATTTTTTCAATCAAGTTGTTTGACAACTCGTTAATAAAGTCACATAGTTTTGTAAACAGAAGTCATACCATTGTAGGAATAATGAATCTTTCGTTGTATTGATAGATTGTTATCAAAATAAAAACATAGAAATGAATTTATGCCAAAATGAAAATGCAGAAAGAAGTATGTAAAGTTGAAAATGCAAAAAAAATGGATATTGTACCATACATATATTTTTTAAGTTGTTTTCATATAACGAGATAACCTTTCTCAGCTAATTTCTTTTTTTAAATGTGTTCATAATTTCGTGCAAACAGTCCAATTGTCAAATTTTTGTATTATGTTGATATACAATACATATCATACATGCCCCTGAATTACGATACAATTTTCTGCTGTATTTATTACTCTTTTTGTAGCAGCCGCTAAGGTTCGGCGTGTTTTTATGAGCATGGCAATTTTCGTATATTAAGAGTTCACTACTGTAACGATGCCTTAGCCTCCACATTCACCAGACACTACTCCGTGTGGCTTCTCCTTATCTCAAACATAAAGAGAACCTTAAAGAGCCATCGTTTTACAAGTTAGATGAAAGTCGCTGAAAGAGCTGAAGGTTATGCCAAAAACCGAGTTTGAGAAGTGCATAATATCGATTTCCAACTATTTTGAAAGCGACAACATTAATGTAGAGTAATGAATAGATTTTTTTTGAAAAAACGAAAATTTTCGTTATTTTTTGAACACACGCCGTAAGTTGTTTCCTCGACGATGGCATCTCAAAACTGTGATGCTGTGATGTAATGCAACCGAAGTTAACGTTTTTTCTTGCTTTTATTGATATTTAAAAAGTAAAAATCAATTATAATATTGAAAAAAATGGTCAAAAAATTCTAGGCAGGAAAAGTGATTGATGAAAAAATGGCGTGTCCTAGTATGCAGGATATCAGGACTCGAAGTAACCCGAAATGGAAATTGTGGAGTTATCCTTAAAGAGGAAGGATATACAATAGTTATAGCACTACGAGAGGATTTTGGAACCATTCTTTTTCACAAAATGGCGGCTGTTTAAAAAAATATGTTACGTTATTTCCCTGTTTTTTTGCCGTTCGGAATTTTTTGAATATATACATTTTTTCTTCAAAAATCCTCTTGTAGTGCGATAGTATAATCTAAAGTTTCTAAAAAAGTAGTTCATAGAAAAGCGACTTTAAAGCTTGCACCGAGCTGCCAGTCGATTTTGTCAGCGCATCACAAAATGAGCTGTAACTCCGAAAATAATTGAAGTTTCAAAAAATCGTTTCAGAAACATATTCTTAAAGGGTTATACTACAATAGTATGCAAAACCAATCGATTTTTTTTTTTAAATTTCTAAACTAGAATACACACTCAACAATACTGCCTTCATATGTAATATGTACCCACTTCTAGAATATTTAAACCCTTACGACAAACAACAGTTATTTCAAGAACTAAAATATGTTGATGAAGTTTTTAAGTATTTAAAGAAAAAGAAAGGCCTGAATCTTAATAGGAAGTTGCAGACTACCTTCACAAGTTTATGTAAAAGTTCACTAACCTGATAAGATCAATGAAAGCTTTTAAAAAAACCCTTTTAGTAAATAAAAGCGCGTAACTTTTAAAAAGTGAACCACAACTCATTGCTTTGCATATAGTAAATTAAAACATAATTAAACTGGAATAATTTTTGCCAGCGACTTCTTTCACCACAAAGAAACCGACCCAGTACCTGAGCACTTAAAGCTCCAAATAAAGCCATCTTGCAACTGGGAAAATTCAATATTTTCAGTTATAATGCATTTTGTCTTGAAACATTACTTAAATACATGTATGTATGTATATGGGTATGTGCAATGTTCATTTGGAAACTAATTTATTGGTACGTAAACTCATGTAAGTGCACGCTGCTGCGTCAAGCCAAGGAAAAGGAACCTTTTATTACTTTATAGGAGCGCCATAAAGGAAAGTAAGGACACACGCTACATATGGCGCGTTGTTGTACGCCAACTTTTAAAAACATTTCTTTCGGGTTTTATTTTATTTTTAATGTTTACCAGATATTGGACACTTTTCACTTTTACCGCAAGTAAAATGTATTTTGGTCGACCACATTTTGGCCTTTCACTAGAAATTTCAACATTTCACAAACTCAACCGAAGTGCTTGTCTACGGTTTGAGTGCACGATGTACGGCCGATCTATGTGCAACGCTCGAGGCGCAAGCAATGCAAGTGGTGCGGTGGCATGTATAAACTCTCTGTTGGGCTGTGTAGTGCGATATGCGTTGCAGTGGATCTGTTGTGAGGCTACCAACTGCTAGAGATGGCAGTGCTTGTTGGCTCTTTGCAGTACTTTAACTTTTTAATGTTGTTGCTGTCGTCGTTGAATTTTCGACATGCTCGAGCAATTTCAGCAATTTTCATGAGTTGCGCTTTTGCCACACACATATCTATACATATGTATATATGAGCGACTGCATACATGCATGTGTGTGTGTGTCTGTGTGGGTATGAATATGCCGCTAGCCGTTAGCCGTATGCCGCTGCATACTTACTCAAGCAATTGGTCGCGCTATATGCAAGTGTGTGCTCACACATACATATGTGGCATATGTGTTGCGTGGCCTGCATGCATGTTGCCAGAGTCTCGGGCACTTTGCCGCTGCAGAGGATTTATGTGTTGCCGTTGAAGATTTATGCGCTATCAACTGGCCAATGCCGAAAAGGATGTGTGCTTGCTGGTTTGTTGTTATTGCTGCGACTGCTGCTGGCATATCAAAGCTTAACAACAACAACAACAACAACAGCCCCAACAACAACATGTACAAGAAGCTGGCAGCACTGAAAGAGCAAAGTGAGGGCAAACACATATACAAAAACTCAAAAGTAAATATGTGTGTGTGTGTGTCTTTTTTGTTGTTGTTGTTGTAGGAAAAGTTGTGTCTCGTTTGGTTTTCCTGCCGCGCCGCTTTCCGTGGTTGCTCTACACGTCAGCGTTCAGCATTGCTGCCCACTTCTATGGACCTACAGCGCTTCTGCACTGGCTGACGCTGCCCTTTTATGCCCTCAGCACCCTAACTGTTTGTGGTTGTGGCCAGTTTTCTTTTCAATAATTGATTTGTTTTCACATGTGTGTTATCGCTTTATGTGCGTGTGGTGTAGCAACTCGCTTACCCGATTTCGGACACACTCACACATGCACACGTGTGCGCATCTTTCTTTACAAAGTTGGCGGCGATTTTGATGCCAACAATCTTGAAGATATACTCAAAGTTGCTGGCTCAAGCAAAAGTTCTTTACAATTGATTAATTGCGGCTATCGGTTGTTGGCTGCTGCCTCTTGGCGGCAACAAGCAATTGAACAGCAATAATTTCCCAACAAGCGAAAGACACAAACTCACCCATATGTATATATGTATATATATAAACAAATTCATACTTGTACATGTACATATGCATAAGTTAATATACCCTATATAGGGTATATAAAATTTGCCACGAAATTTGTAAATATATATATCATATATAAATGATCAGCATGACGAGCTGATTCGATTTAGTCATGGTCGTCTGTCCGTTTATCAGTCCGACTGTCTACATGTATGTCAACTAGTCCCTCAGTTTTTGAGATATCGTTCTGAAACTTTGCGCAAGTCTTTTTTTCCCCAAGGAGCTGCTCTATTGTCGGAATCATCGATATCGGACCTCTATAGCATATAGCTGCCATACAAACTGAGCGATCGGAATCAAGTACTTGTATGGCAACATTTTTTAGTTGATGAGATATCTTCACAAAATTTTGCTCGAATTATTCTTCAAGGCAACGATACAATCTCTGCAGAAATTTTTCAGATCGGCATATACTATAGCATATGGCAGTCATACAAACTGAATGATCAAAATCAAGCTCTTGTGTAGAATCTTTTATATTTGTGAAGGCTATTAAAGCTTCGGTGCAACCGAAGTTAAAGTTTTTTATTGTTTTTGTATTCATAAGTCTATACTATGTGTAGTTTCGTAAGTGCTGCCAAGTGAATGCAAAGTGCAGCAAAGTTTTGTTGAAAAATGCGCAAAAAAATAACTCAAACTCGCAAAATCATATTCACCAAAAAAATCCGCCGCTGAAATTGCTGTCGATAGCTGCACGTTAAACGTTTAAAAACTTCATAACTACTTTGCAACAACAACAATAACGCTTATACATGCGCGTACAGCAAACTTGTGCTTGCTTCTTTAGCATAATTT